TCACTTTTGTGCAGTCATTCCTGAAAGGGATGGCTCTCAAGTGGTTTGAACTGGATTTACTTGGGATTGAAGACCTGGAAGACTGGCCCTACTGGATGGACTTGTGGAAAGAGTTCAGCATAGAACTCCAAACCACCTTTGGACCCCATGACCTGGTGGCTGATGCTGAAAGCCAGCTAAACCACCCCCAAATGAAAGATAATCACTGGGTCAATAAGTACATAGTTGAGTTCAACTGGTTGGCCTCTCAAGTCTGGGGACACAGTGATGGTCCTCTGTGCCACTTCTTCTACACTGGTCTCCCTGACCATATCAAAGATGAGGTCTGCCAGGTTGGTAAACCTAGAACCCTGCACAAGCTTCACCACTTAGCCCAGGAGATTGATGCATGCTAGTGGGAACACAAAGAGGAGGTTCAGTGGTCCAGCAAGCACCAGGGGTTGTCCTCTGGCAACAAGTCAACTTCAAACCCTGGTCACAACACCCAGTCCAAGCCTGGTCAGGAGAAATCCAAGACCAGCAGTAATTCCAGAAATGGCAACTCCAGTAGCCAGTCTTTGTCTAAACCTGCCTCAATTGGTCAGACCAGCTCTAACATGTCCAAGCCAGACTTGAGAAAAGACAGCAAGCTGACACTGGAGGAGTGCAAGTATCATAGAGACAACAACCTTGGCATGTTTTGTGGGGGCACTGGACATTTCACAGATAAGTGTCCCAAGAAAGCCAAAGCTCATGCTGTGGCTACCTCTGAGGCAACACCAGCCTCAACCTCAGGCTCTGACCCCAAGGCAAAAAAATAGGTAGCAGTTCTCAGGACTCTGCACAGACTGAGGGCTGCATTGACTCTGGCTGTGCACTCACAAAGGCTTGTTTCAACATGTCAGCTCTTTCTAATCCCAATTCATTAACTCCCTACATTTCTACTGTCAGTCATGATTTGCCCCAGCTCTGTACACTGGTGGACTCTGGTTCCACACATGGCTTCATAGATAAAGAATTTGCCAATCAACACTCATTTTCCCCTTACTCTGTGTCCCCTATCCAACTCTGGCTCTTTGATGGGTCATCAAGTTTCATTATCACCCAAGCAGCAGATCTTTTGGTTCAATTTTTGACTGGTGATGTCACCCCAGTAACCCTGTTTTTAGCCCTGTTGGATTCTGAATGTAAGATAGTCCTTGGACATGACTGGCTCACCTGCTACAATCCATCAATTGATTGGGTATTGAGCAGTCTAACTTTCCAGACATCTACAGGAGGAATGCCAATGCTGTCAAAACCCCTGCAACCCTGGCCCTAACCAGCCTTCCCAGTCCTGGTCTGCCTGACCAACCCAACCCTGGCCCTGTTCCATCTGTACCATCTGTCAACTCACAGCCCCATGAAAGCTCCCCTTATAGCCCTGATCAATGCAGCTGCATATGTACATGCTTACAAGCTAGAGGGATCTACCCAATTCCAGCTTCATCTATGCCCACTGGACCTGGACCTAGCCTGGTCTACCTCTACCAGCCCTCCACCAGACTTGGCTGGTGTACCAAAGGACTACCATGACTTTGCTGATGTCTTTAGCAAAGCCAAGGCATCTACTCTCCCTCCACACCAGGAGTACAACCTTAAGATTGAACTGGAAGAGGGTTATACACCACCCATTGGAACTATCTACTCACTATCCCCAGTCAAGCTGCAAGCTCTCCAGGCATTCATTGACAAAAACTTGACTACTGGTTTCATCTGGCCCACTTTTCCCCCCTATGCTGCACCAGTCCTTTGTGTAAAGAAGAAGGACAGCTCACTCCAGTTATGTGTTGACTTTTTGGGCCTTAACAAGCTCACCAGGAAAGACCAGTATCCCTTACCACTGATATCTGATCTCCTCAATTCCCCTAGTCACACCAAAATATACACTAAAATCAACCTGAGGCATGCATACCACCTCATCTGGATTGCACCTGGTGATAAGTGGAAAACAGCCTTCAGCATGTGCTATGGGTCATATGAGTGGTTGGTGATGCCTTTCAATCTTACCAATGCCCTGGCCACCTTCCAGTGGTTTGTCAATTCAATCTTTGCAGATATGTTAGATGTCTGCATTGCCATCTACCTCCACTTCAGTCACCCCCCCCCCCCCAGGGGACCTATTAGGTTCATATATTCTTATGGATGTATCCACCTTTGAACAGTGTGGAACTCTTTCCCTGCATCCTATCATGTTCATTCTTGTACAGTGTTTTTCCCCAACCTTATGTCTCTACTGCCACTCCATGCCCACACCCTGTCCCTGCTGACCAATCATCTATGGCTGTGTCCTACACCCCTGTCCTGCCTCCCCTACTCCATGTGCCCCCCTTTAAACATGACAACATCCTCATTGTCTGTTAGCTTGCCACCCAACTCTTCCTGCATGCTGTCTGTTCTTCCCTGTTCGACTGCTCCCAATGCTGCCTCTTCCTCTCTTCCAGGTGCTCACCCTTCACAACCATTGTTGTCAGTGTCTGTCTCATCATCCTCTTCACTCCTTTCACCATCTGATTTGCTTCCTCCATCCACATTCCTTCTCCTGTCCCTTCTGGTACATCTTGTTCTGTTTCCATGCTTTGTAGTTGTGCCAGGTATTCTTGTTGATCCACATGTAGTTGTGTTCCTTCTCTTGCTATGAACATGCATAGTCTTTGTGTGCTGAACTCCCCTGGGACCAGTGTTGCACACCAAAGGTGTTTGGTGAGGTGGACATGGATACAGCTGATGAATGGAGATGAAGACCATAGCCCTCATGTCAAGAAGGACAGCCAGGAATGTTGGCAGTCATCCCTCACACAAGAACAAGTCATCAGTGCCAGAGAAAGAGAAAGGGAGCAAGTTAAGCACTGGCTAAAATTCTCAAGCACCCATGTATGGCATTCCAGTTTTTGACATATCTCTGCCATTTCTGCAGATACCAAGACCATTCCCACACTTGCTTGTAGTGCTCAGCCATGCAATCTTACCTTCCAAAATTGGAAAGGATTTGTGCACTCCACACATTTCTACAGCACTCCCTCCAAAAGATGCTCATTTCGCTAAATTCTTCTGATATGGCTGCCTCTACATCAGTCATTTTGCTTGTCCCCTTTGCTAGGGACCATGGCTACATATATCTACCAGGAGTTCCTACCAGCTTCTGTCCTGAAGCATCCTGGTACATCCCACCCTCATCTGTGCCCTTTCAGCCCATCCAGCTTGGACAGTGTGTTCTTTTTGTCAGTATGACCTCTAGGAGGACATTTGTTGGTCACCTCAGGTCTGTCATTTGCTTGGAAAGGTCTTATGTGGTTGTTTCAGTCTCTCCAGTCCAAGAAGCATATGGATCCTTCCTCCCTGCTCCCTGCAATGTCTTCATACCAGTCTTGTCCATCATTCTTCCAAGATTGTGACAGCTACAGTATAATCTACTGTTCCTCACTCTCCCTGATCACATCCATGATGAGTATGATGCACATCTTGCCTCCTTGTTGCAAGATACAGCAGAAGACACTCCCCATTCATCCTCTCTTCCAACAGAGCCTCATTCATGAAGTTTTTATTTGCTTCACTGAAAGGATGGTTTGGGGGGGAAAGTTGCAATCCCCTATGCTCCTGTCACCCTACAGACCCCCAAAGCTTGACCCCTGTTGACATCTGACTCACCCTGTCCACTTTTGGATGTACTATATTGGCATCAGATCAGTGCTGCCTCTCTGTCATCCCACCTTGGCCTAGAAGCAATCTCTTTGAGATGTGACATGCACAGCCTCCCCCTAATGTGAATCCAGTGTGCTTTCCCAGTTCCTGACATCACTTGACTCATACTTTGATGTTCTGACTGTCTTTGAGTCACCTATTGCCAATACTTACCAATCTTTTGACTTTGCTTACTGATTCTTCGCTTTTTGGCTTGCTAATCCTTACCATTGCTTTCCAAGATGATTACCCATTGCTTACATTCCTTACTCATCAGTTACCAATCACTTACCAAGTGTTTGCACCTTGTTTTCCAAGGGCAACACCCCTGTACTGTATATAAATCACTGTACTTAGATAGCAAAAAAAAAAGAAGACATCAGAGAGCCCCTCTTGCTCACATTTTATCATCACTCAGTAATTCATTCAGCAGCTTTGATAGTTGAGACTTTATTAAGGGTCTAACTATTGTCTACTTCACTTATCCTTGTCTATCATCAATATACTTTGCTCCAAGCCCTCCCTGAGCTCAGTGCAGCTTAGGACATCAAATTAAGTCATCATCCATCCTTCTGTAGGCTGACAGCAGTCTACCCTATTGCATTCTCTCACATTCCTGCTCCTTCTTCATCAGGAGCACCCCCAACCCTCAGCACTTGTCTTTGAGTGTTGTAGCTTGCAAAAACCCTCCCAAAGAACAGGTTCTACCATCTAGGTACTGCATAGGCACACCACCACTTGCTCTTTTTGTCTTTTGTGTTGGTTTTGGTTGGTTTTCACCACTGAACTACACTTTGACTCACAGCAGTAGTGTGGGGAACACTGTGTAGGAGTTGTCCTCAAAGGTGCTGCAGGTCACCATAAAACAGAGTGCCTTATAGTAATATTGAATGTAAATCACTCATATATATCTTTTCTCTGGGCACAAACTATTTATTGATGAAGCTTAGGTATGCATCCTAGTATCTATGCCTTTTTGATGGCACCTGCAATGGTAATGGGGGCAAATAACCAGTTCCAATGTCCTCCAACCAATCCTCATCCTCTGTAAATTCCCCTTCATTTGCTTGCTCAGTGGGACATTCCTCTTCCAGTGCCATCTCTTCAATGGCCATCAACAGCTCATCATCTCCTTCTGACACTACATCCCCTTCATCAGAGCCATTCTCTTCAAATACTGGTGCTGTTAGATCCTCTGAAGCATGGGTTCCACCAGGATTATGTGTGGCAGCAAGGCAATCCCTGATGTCTTCTGCTGTAGGTCCCCATGGCCTAGATGCAGCCCATGCATATGGCATATGTCAAAGCTTGGCCTCCCATTTGACATATACTGCAACAATGGAATCCCTGTAGGCATGCAGGTGATACTTGTAATATTCATCTAACTCCCTATGAGATGGGACATAAACATGGTATTTGCACTCACCTGCCACATTGTCCAGAGCAGACCATACACTCAGCCACTCCATGGAAATCCATTCCTGTATGATAGATTGCTCTCTTGACAACCTTCTTTCTTCTTCATTACAGCAATCATCTTCCAACATCAGCCTGATTCCCTTGGGCACACTCTCATCAGCAAGCCAATGTGGGGTGCTAGCACTAAGCTCCTCAAGACCATCCTGCCAAACATCACTATCAACATCCAGCTAAAAGATACCTTTAGCAGGTATGGGATTGGGAGGGATGGCACCAGGTGATGCCTTACACAGTCATATCATACTCTGCAGTTCACCACAGAGATTATTGTATCTGGTGACAAGTTTCAGGATGGTAGGCTCTCATCATTTTATGGATGACTCTACATGTGACTGTAAATGGTTTTCTACATGATGTTATTGAAAATAGCAGCCAGAAATAAAATTTTGCTCACTACTGGAAGAGGTCCCATATGACCATTGTAGTCACTGGAACTCAAACTTGCACTGATGAAGTTGCTCCCTTATCCAAACCTTAAGTGCTTGTGCATTTGTTTGTATTTGGAGTCACTTGTTCCTCAGCAGATGAAGGTCAGTTTGGGCAGAAAGTCCCAATGAAGCCTTTTTCTTCTTGAGGGCCTGGGCTGCCTTTGACAGTGACCCTTTTGTTGCAGCAAGTTGTAGATTGTAGTCAACAATGTCTTTGACATGATCATCAGCAAGATCCTTCTCCAACTAATCCACATGGCACTGATAGTCCTCAACTGTTTTCTCCAGAACAAGAACATGTGCCAACTGTTCAGAACCGAGTGAAACATGCATCTGAGCAGACAATGCAATCAAAGCTATTGGGTCTCAGTCATCTAGTCAGCAACAATGAACTTGTCATTGACTCAATCATCCTGAGGAGGGTTATAGCTCTGTAAGTCACCTCCCCCAAAGCAAAGAGGACAGTGAGCACATAGGTAGTCACTTGGCCAGGGGCTATCTTGCTGTGGCATGGAGTTTGGGCAAAAGGACTGAACCATAGCAGAAATACAGTCCTCCACATATATTGTCAATACAGTATACCAATGATAATCATTACTGAAACACTGCCAGAGATTGTCCTGATCATTTGAATAAGCACCCATCATTACAACAGAGATATTTGTGTGGGTACATGTACATTCAAACCATGATGATATACTGATACAAGAAGTAGCATACAGGGTGGATGTGAAGACAAAGGCAGAGATCTAGTGATGGTGTTTGGAGAAGAACATACCTTGAACTGCAGTCTATACCCTTGACCATCCAGGAAGCTTTCTAGTGCTTCACACCATGCAGTTGTGTTTGGGGTTAGCCAGACAAAGAGCTTCTTTACAAACTCCAGTACACAAAGGTCAACTGCCAGAGTAGGTACCACAGGAGATGATGCAAATAACCCATGGCCCATGAGGCATATAGGAGCTGGGGTGCATGCACAGTAGCTTATCCCAACATCCTCCAAACCTGGGTATACATGAGCATCACATGAGCAAACAACAAAATGGTCACATATGGTCAAAGAAGAGACAGCAAACAGTGAGTTGATACACTGTGCAAGTGCAACATCAATGGATGACTGAGGGGTCTACTGTCATGCAAAGGGATTGGGATGCCTCAAGATAGCACATGTAGGGCTTGAGAAGTGCTGGAATGATATCTTGTGACCACTGTTGCCATTGGTTCTTGCACTTCTGTGAATCACTTGGACATGAAGGCAAGCCAACCTTGCTGAGTTTGAGCTCATTCACAGCATTGAAGACATCAACAGGTTGGTGCTGAGGGTGATGTGGCATTGCAGCAGTAGCTTGAGCATGGTGTTGGCAGCCTGGAAGTACAAAGACAGGTGGAGGTGCAGGGAGGTACAGCACTTTCATACCAAAAGGGCAGTGTTGACAAGATAGGGGAGGAGGGACAAACAATGACTGTGTCATATTCTACACAAAGATAAACATGTATAACCTCTTAGACATAGGATCAGAACATACTGAAGGGGTGGGTATACCAAGTGACACTTGGTTGTTTGATGATGGAGTGGCTATGTCAGGCAGCCAGTTGGCTGAGGCAGACAACATTGATAAGACCTATAGGGGAGCTAAGATGATATGAAGAATACCATAATGAAATTGCACACACCAAAGGGCCAGAAGTACAAAGTGATGGCTCATTACCAGACAAAGATGAAGGATGGTCAGTGAGTACACTGGGTAGCAGACCAGTTTGGACAGATGAAGCAGAGGAGGCCTGTAAAGAAATGATGAGCACAACATGAGGCTTGAAGACAGGGAAAACTCACAATATTAGAATTACTCATAGAAGGTGAAGCATTGCAATGCCTCTGAGGCTTTGGATGGTGAACAGCTATCTCAGATCATTCTGGAAACCATGACACAAAGTCAACAGGTGGTGGAAAGCACATCACAAAGTCAGCAGGGGGTGTCAGTCCAAGGGGATTTTGACCAGATGATGAATCTCTGGAAGGGAAAAACTATGCAGAAAATTCATCAGATCACCACATACAGCCAAGTAGGATCCTACTTACCAGAGCACAAGTCTTGAGCAGTTAAAAACAAAAGTCACTATCAACATATGTAGCAGTGAGCAGAAACCCCATCATCAAGATGTCATACATACCAAGCAGAACAAGTCTCAAAGAATTGAATGGTGCAGACCTTGATGCAGATAAAGTATCAATAGCAGTGAAGTGGGATGGGAACATTCCTTGCCTGGCAGTGGGAGTGTCAGTGAGTAACACATTGCTATCAACAAAAAAAAAGCAGTGAGCACAAAGTGTGAGATTAAGGTTCAGTCACAGGCAACATTCCAAATCATCAAATTGATTCAGCCTGCTTTATGACATGGTACATACTCACACTACACAAATTTGGACAGAAAACAAAAGTATATGTGGCAGAGGATGTCAGACAAAGGTAAAAATGTGGGGGAGGGATGGTTGATGCCCAAGATAATCAAATGCAGTTTGGATGTAGAATTCACAAGCCAAGATGAAGGCTTCATATGCTGCTTGGTTGCCAGAGCCATCCAGCTTGATTGGGGACTTCAAATGAAAGGGTGCTCCTGTCCATGCAGATAGCAACTGACAGAACTTGTTCAGATATGGAAATGCCACCTTCATCTCACTAGCAGTCAACCCCACATCATGCAGCTCCCAAGGAAGAGGCACCAACCAACTTGAAAGACCACATCCACCATGGAAGATAGACCAAAGAAGTGATTGGCATGTATTCTTATCTAGGCTATCAGTGTAGGGAACATGAACCTTTTCCCTATGAGAAGTTGTGCTTCTGTTGTGTTGAAGGGAAGGTTTGAGGGTGGAGAGTGTAGGTGAGGGTCGAAGAGGATTTGGACTTAGGGGTTGTGGATGAAAAGGAATTGGTGTCGAAAGATAGAGAGCTGACTAAGCATGCAGGTGGTCATGGTGCATGCCACATCACTTAGAGACTACAGTACAGCACAGACAAGAATACTGTACAAGGATCACTGTCTTCTCTGTGTCTTGCTTCAGGGAGAGCAAAAATCACCACTTCAGCTCCTTTCTGCCAAAGTTCTTCCCCAGAGTCAAGAAATATTTTCTTGGGCAAGTTCCCTTTTCATTCATCTAAAGTACTTAACCTGCATCCAGACCAAAGCCCCTTCAGGGTCAACCTGACTCAAGCAGAACCTACCTCTTCTGGAGTCAGAGTTCTTGGCTGTCAGAAAACACTATCTTACACTTGGAGCCCACCACAAGGGGCTTCAACCAACAACCAGGAAGTAAAGTACAACCTCAGGCAAACAGCAGCTAGGGTTGCCCACAAAGAGAGACATAAGAAAGTGAAAGAAGCACTCAAAGCAAGGAAGAAAGAAATGCCTCCCTGTTTAGCTAAGTCATCTCTTGGGAAGCTCCCCACTGAAGTTCCTCTTCCAGAATCCCCAGAACCAGAAGAGCTGAAACAGAACTGAGAACCCAGCTTCACAGAATACCAAACACCAGTGCCAATTATCAGATCAAACTCAGAAACATCCTTTGGTTCAACAGAAGAAGCCACAAAACTCCTACAAGAACCACCTTCACTGCTCACAGAATTACCCCTCACAGTATTCATAGAGGAGCCCAAAGACATTCTGTTTTCCATTCCTATGTTTACAGGAGCAAAAGTTGACACTACCAGCTTAGAGGACATGTACAAAGCAATCTGGGATGACAGGTGACCAGAAAGCTTGTCAAAGTTCACAATGCCTAAGAAGGAAAAGGAAGAAGAATTACTGCCATTTACAACCTACTGGGACAAAGGAAAGGAAAGGGTGACAGAGCAGCCACCTGACAGAATCTATGTCAATGACCCAAAAGCTGCAGTCCACCAAGGGCAGACCAGAGAAAGGTTGCCCTCAAGGTCAAGGATGAGGGTGAAGTCAAGACATAGGTTGGAACATAGGGAGAAGTCAACCTTGAGGTCAAGGTCAAGACACAAGCACAGGTACAGATTGACTTCCAGGTTGAGTTACAGAACAAGGTACAGGTTGAAGTCCCATCACCACAGACATAGAATATTGGACAAGTCAAGAAGTAGTTGCCATAGGAGGTCCTACTCCATGGACAGTTCATCGAGTGACTCAAGCAAGGAAGAGGAAAGAAGAAGAAGGTATTACAGGTGTGAGAAGGAATGTCACTCAAGGTATAGATCTCCATCTACAGAAGCATGGGAGCTGAGGAGGAGAACAGCCCAGCAAGAAGAATTGTCTGAAGGGCAATGTATCCTTCAGCTTCTCAAACAAGGCACCCTGGCATCCAACAAACCCAAACCACTCAAGAAAATGCACTCTAGGTCTTCAGATAAAGCACCCAAGTTTTCAGGGAAAACAGCTGGTCTGGTTTGTTATCTGGAAGTAAATCCACCACCTGTGCAAGGAGGCAGGGTGTACAGATGAGTATGAGTGGCTGAAGTGGGCTATCTGGTATTTGGACAATGATATGGCAAACCTGTGGATGCAACTCCTGGAAGGAACAACAGGAAGATGGGACAAGTTCATAGAGGCACTGGCAAATGTGTACCCAGGTGCAGGAGAACAAGAGAAGAGATATGTTAAAGCAGACCTGATTGATCTCATTCAAGTGCAATCCAGAAAGATCATAGCGACAGAAGAAGACCTTGGAGAGTACTTTCAGCAGTATGAGATCATCACAGGCTACCTCGACAGACACTATAAGCTCACCCAGGAAGATTACAATGGCTACTTCTTGGAGGGCCTGGACCTGGATCTCCAGAAAGATACACTTGAGAACTTGAAGTTTAGAAATGGCTTGCATGATTTGGATGACCCCTAGCCTATGAACAAGGTCATATGAGAAATAAAAGAGTTGCTGAGGCACAGGTACCATATGATGAGAAGCCATGCTGCAAGGAGGGGTGTCATTCAGTTATCACCCAGGGAGGAAGCCAGGAGGATAGCATGCAAGTTAGTCCAGAGGCAGGCTCAGGTTCAGGCAGAAGCACAGGCCCAGCAAAGGGCAGCACCTGCACAGGCCAGAAATGTTGTCAAAGGAGCATGTGAACTGCCTTGAGAAATAATTTGCTTTTTCTGTTTCCTTCAAGGACACTGCACAAGGACTTTTCACATGTTGGAAAGGTATCACACAGCTGATAGATGAGTGGATGGCAAGAGACAGGAGGAGGAGAGAAGAGCAGCAAGCACCCATTGTTCATATTGAGCATGAAGAGGAACCTCCAACAAATGTGAATATGTTCATAGCAGCACACAACACCTTCCAATATGTTGAGAGAGCTAGGATCAAAGAGTATGCTTTGGAAGGAGAGGATACAGCTGAGGAGGTCATCTTGGAAACAGAGTATGAAGCCCAAATGGCTTAAGTAGAGCAATTGTTCACAGCAGCACAAAGGGAAGAAAATAAGCTGCAGTGAAAGGCCCCAAAGTTTGATGGAGTAGCAGTACCTGGAAAAGAGAGATGTACAGTGACCATGACAGCAGAGCAGGCAGGACCTAGTCAGTCTGGCTTGACAGATGCTCCTGAAGCAAGTTTGAAGGATAAGGGAAAGCAACCAGACAGAAGTGCTGGCAGGTTGCTAGGACCTACCTCCATGCCCAAAAACCAACAGGGTGGCATGGAAGATCAAGACATGGGAAGGAAAGTTTATAGGTATATGAGTCTGTTCAAAGACCCTACAGCAGCAACAAGGGTTTTGAACCAGTACTTGGACCAGACTGTTATGATTCCAGGAAGAGATCCACTTGCTATAAGTCCAGATGTTTGGAGGGAGTTCAAGGACCAAGCAATGATCAAGCAAGTAGTGCTCAGTGCTACCTTCTTGGGCATGTCAGGAATGTTGGAAGGGTCAGCACAGTTGAATGACATGAGGGCTTTTGAGTGCAGTATAGGAGAAGAGAGGTTCGCACAGATGGATTTGATGCCACTTACAATGGCAGAGGTCAAGCTGGCTGGGAAGGTCATGCTTGAAGGGATCCTTGACAGCAGTTCACAGATAGTGGCTTTGTGACAGGAGATAGCTGAAGTCCTGTGTCTCTCCATTGAGAGAGATAGCCAAATCATTATGGAAGCTGTGAACCAGTCAAAGGACAAAATGCTGGGCCTGGTGCAAGATGCTTCACTCAAGATTGGTCCAGCAGAAGTGCAAGTGCTGATTCAAGTCATCAAGTTGGCTCCCTT